CCTTCCTTCCTTCCTTCCTTCCTTCCTTCCTTCCTTCCTTCCTTCCTCCTCCTTCCCTCCCTCCCTCCCTCCCTCCCTCCCTTCCTCCCTCCCTCCCTCCCTTCCAAAGCAAAAATGATGATTAGGAGACTCGAGGATAAAACATATAAAGAATGGTTGCTGGAATTGGGTATGTCTAGTTTAATGAAAAGAAGGACTAGGGGAAGGGAAGAAGAAGGAGTCAAGCTGTTCTCCAAAGCACCTGGAGGCAGAACAAGAATCAGTGAATGGAAACTAATCAAGAGAAGCAACCTAGAACTAAGGAGAAATTTCCTGACAGTGAGAACAATTAATCAGTGGAACAACTTGCCTCCAGAAGTTGTGAATGCTCCAACACTGGAAGCTTTTAAGAAGAGATTGGACAACCATTATTCTGAAGTTGTGTAGGGTTTCCTGCCTAAGCAGAGGGTTGGACTAGAAGACCTCCAAGGTCCCTTCCAACTCTGTTATTCTATTCTATTCTATTCTATTCTATTCTATCTATTCTATTCTATTCTATTCTATTCTATTCTATTCTATTCCATTCTATTCCTTCCAACTCTGTTATTCTATTCTATTCTATTCTATTCTATTCTATTCTATTCTATTCTATTCTATTCTATTCTATTCTATTCTATTCTATTCTATTCTATTCCTTCCCTACAATTTCATGTATTTTCCAGTTGCTTCAGGTTGCAGCATGAAAACATATCAGGGACCATATTTTTGCTCTACCGAGATGAACAGAGAGTGATGATATCTATTCCTACCCTCCAGGAACAGTTGGTGGCCTGAATTCCCAACAGGACCCCTTGGCAAAGCAGAAATGCTCTTATTGAAGGACAACTGGTGAGCACTTTTGATTCTTACTCTTTGAGTACAATCAGAAGTCAGAGACAAAAGTGCAAAAGACGGGAGGGAAACAACATCGCTTCACAAGATGGCTGTTATACCTTTCAACCAGCTATTATACAGTATCCGATTGAATGATGATGTGATTGGATAAATTTGAGGAAGTACATTTATTCCCATTAGGAACAAACTGGCCTGATGAATCCAACAGTTCGGTTCAAATTAACTTGATTTTCCAAGTTAAATCAAAGATCTTAATCAGATTAGGTCAATGGACTGGGTCAAATCAAATATTCTAAAATCAAATCAGAGCCAAATATGCCCATCCTTATTGCCCATCTTACTGCTGAGATGTATGCGGGTGTGTTTATGAGTAACAAATTGTGCATCTGATAGAGACATTTTAAAAAAGAAAGAAAAGTAACAGCACGGTCCAATTAAGAAGGCTTTTGATTATGCTGACACAGGTCTCTAACGTTGTCTTCTGTGGTTATTAAGGACCTCCCAAAAATCCAAAGAGGTCTTTAAATCGTTCTGGACTCAACATAAGAAGCCTGTTTCTGATCCACTTTAACATCATTAAAATCCAGCTGATGTTTTGACTTACTAACCAAAGGAGATTTCTTTACGAGAACCAAGAAGCTTCGAAATGTGCCCATTGTTGTTGTTACTTGCGAAGTTGTGTCTGACCGATCACGACATTGGAGAACATTCCTCCAGGCCTTCCTATCCTATACCATCCTCTGAAGTCCATTTAAGCTCACACCGACTGCTTCAGTGACTCCATCCAGCCACCTCGTTCTCTGCCGTCCCCTTCTTCTTTTGTCCTCAATCATTCCCAGCATTAGGCTCTTCTCCAGTGAGTCCTTCCTTCTCATTAGATGGCCAAAGTATTTGAGTTTCATCTTCAGGATCTGGCCTTCTAAAGAGTTGTCAGGGTTGATCTCCTCTAGGACTGACCGGTTGGATCGCCTTGAAGTCCAAGGGACTCGCAGGAGTCTTCTCCAGCACCATCGTTCAAAGGCCTCCACTCTTTGGCGCTGAGCCTTTCTTATGGTCCAACTTTCACAGCCATCCATTGCAACTGGGAAAACCATATCCTTGACTCTGTACACTTTTGTTGGCAGGGTGATGTCTCTGCTTTTTAGAATGCTGTCTAGATTTGCCATAGCTTTCCTTCCCAGGAACAAGCGTCTCTTAATGTCTTGGCTGCAGTACCCATCTGCAGTGATCTTGGAGCCCAGGAAAATAAAAGCTGTCACTACTTCCATTTCTTCCCCATCTATTTGCCAGGAAATGTGCCCATAGAACAATATTTCTACTTCCTTCAAAAATTAGCAGGCTTTGGCAGCGCCCGTAACTCAAAATATTGTTAAAGTGCCTCGGCTGTTGCAAATTTTATGATGGCTTGGGGCGGGGGGGGGGGGGGAGATGCCATGAGGGTCACGGATGTGTAGCTGGCGATTGGACGAAGAAAAATATCTCCCTCTAATGTTCTCAGACATCAATAATCTCTTCTCCTTTTTTTATTTTGCCATCCCTCCATATGATACCTTTAGTAGTTTGCTACAAAGCTTTCATTATAAATTGACAGCTGCTGATATGCTTACAGAAGCATTTCATGACTTGGCCCCCACATCTGAGAGAGAGAGAGAGTTGGGTTATTCGGCTGTGTTTCTGCTTGATATAGGTTGTACTACTTTCCCAGCTAACGTTCTCGCTGGAGTGCCGTAAATCATATTGACCTGCAAGCTACTCAGTTAGATTTGGCATTTTCCCATTTGCCAGCTGCTGTTATGACACTTTCCTAAACTGTTAGAATACACGCATAGCTATCAATATTGCATCTGTTTCTGGGACAAGAGAGTCACATTACCTATAGTAAGGTAAAGGTTCCCCTTGCACATATGTGCTAGTCATTCCTGACTCTAGGGGGCAGTGCTCATCTCCGTTTCAAAGCCAAAGAGCCAGTGCTGTCCAAAGATGTCTCTGTGATCATGTGGATGGCATGACAAAATGCCAAAGGCGCACGGAACGCTGTTACCTTCCCACCAAAGGGGGTCCCTATTTTTCTACTTGCATTTTTTACGTGCTTTCAAGCTGCTAGGTTGGCAGAAGCTGGGACAAGTAACGGGAGCTCACCCCATTACGCGGCACTAGGGATTCGAACCACTGAACTGCCGACCTTTTGATCGACAAGCTCAGCATCTTAGCCACTGAGCCACCACATCCCCTATTACCTACAGTATGGCCAAAATTGTGGAAACCTTTTTGTATTTTTGAGGTTTGATGGCTAATAACAGCACTTTTTTTTCATTTATTAGGAGCAACATTCCGGCAATACTCGGATGCAGTTAGGACTAATCCCACGTAGATTTACATTCCCCTATGACCCTGTCTCTCCCCTCCTCTCTGGCCATGTTATAAATCACATTCTCCAATTAACCACTTTGGCTGGCTGTGAAACCTAACACTCTCCTTCTGATTGCAGTCAGGAAGAATGTATGGAATTCACTTCAGTTCTCCCTTCTTCCTGCTCATGGCAACTTGAAAGCTTTGCAAGTTGACAGAGAGATTCCCTGTTTTTATACCTGTAGAAATGGGATTAATAAATAAATTGATCATGAAGAAGTAACAAGAATTGGGCAGGGACATTTAATTGAGAGCCCTTATCAATTATTTCCTTTCCAGCAGATACATTCTTACTTTATGATCTAAGAAAAAATCAGTGATTTCTAGGAAGGAGAACTATAAAGCATCAAGCATTTCTTTGGAAAAAAACTTAAAAAGACTGTAAATGGGGAAATGGATCACTCACAATCTTCACTGAGTTGCAAAGATTCCGGCAAAATATTCATTACATAATTTTTCAATGCAAGCTAGAAATAAGTGGTTTTAGCTGTTATGGCAATAACATAAGATTGTACTGGCTGGCCCTGAACTAATTCCAAATAAAACTTTGTGTTGTCTATTTTAGGTTCCAAAATAAGAGATATTGTGACAGAGGAATAAAGGTAGACCTCAGCTACGCGACTGGGAAAGAGAATGAACTACAAATACAACGTATGGATATTTTGTCAGAGAGGAAAATGAACTTTTAATTGCTCTGTGTTTCTGGATCTCTGCAATTCTTTTATTAGAAATTAATTATACTTATCTAACTGAGCACTGATTGCACTGAAGCTTGCCACACGCGTGGTTTGCTATTTTGTGTTCATTTTATTCTTACATGTAATTCACAAGATGCACAGCTACCCTAAAGGAATCCGGTCAGAGGTGGTATTCAGCCGGTTCGTACAAGTTCGCACAAACCAGTAGCGGAGATCACAGGTGGGCCCACCCACCCACCCCCTGTCTTGGCTCCATGCCATTCTATTCAGGCACAGTTTTGAGGCTGGTCGCATGTGTGGAAGGTGCACATGTGAGCAAAGCATATGTGTGGATGGGTGGGCACATGTGCAGGAGGTGGCAACAAAATGTGAAACCCACCATGTTAGCATTCCAAAAACAACCCCTCTCCAATTAAAAACTCTGAAGCAAGCATTTTCCAAAGTTCTATTTACTAGAATAGGTAAACTGGCACATCTGGGTAAACCCGAATCTGAGAGTTCTGGGTTTTCTCTCAGTAAATCAAAACCCCCAAAACCATCCCCTCACTCCTCAGTCGATCACATGCTCCAATAACCATCCATCCCATCTGGAGACATCACTCCAACCATTCCTTCTCCAGATGCAGGATCGGCCTGATCGAAAGGAAGAATGCTATTTTATCTAAAACCAATCCCTCTACGAAAATCCCCTCTCCTACTTTCCCACACAGGAGAAGGCGGCAGCGTGGAAGCTTCCAGCCTAATATGGCTTCCAAAGATGACACACCGCTGTATCCAGTCATATTTAATTGTGTGTTTTATAACATCAAATCAAATCAAATACAAAGTTTTAGCGATCAGATTTTTAACGTAAGATTTCTTTTGGAAGTAGCTTGCAGAGAAGATTCTGGTCAGTTGGAAGAAGAAGAAGAAGAAGAAGAAGAAGAAGAAGAAGAAGAAGAAGAGAAGAGAAGAAGAAGAAGAAGAGAAGAAGAAGAAGAAGAAGAAGAAGAAGAAGAAGAAGAAGAAGAAGTAGAGAAAGAAAGAAAATCTGTATTTTCTATTCGTCAGACCGTTGAAGAGAGAATCCATTTTTTGGACTTTCAGAACAGCTCAAAAGGGTTAATGTGTTTTGTGGTTTGTTCCAAAATTGAAATGACTTTCTAATGCTCATTGAATTTGGACTTTTCCAAATAATGATTCAAGCAATGCATTATACAGTGGTGGGATTCAATTTTTTTTACTACTGGTTTTGTGGGTGTGGCTTGTTGGGCATGGCCAGGGGATGTGGCAGGCTGCACTCAGCCACCTGCATCCCTCTGGGAGCAAAAATTACCCAAACATCCACACAACAGACCAAGTAATGCTGTCCAACAGCTCACTGATGGTGGCCCTTTAGTTCATTGTTGAGTGCAATTATAACTCTGGGATAAAAACTATTCAGACAACATGTAGTCCGAGTTTTAATTGTTCTGTATATATTTTGTCAGTGAGAGGAATGGACTTTGGAGGCACAGGGTGATATTCTGAAGAGTATCTAGTTGTTACTTTAAAGAGGAATATTTAGACTGTAAATATGAATACCGTACAAGGGATTAAGAGCTGCGTGTTAAGGATCTTCATTTGTACCATATCTGAAAATAAATTACCGGAGAAGAAGGATCTCTTTTATAATGTGTGCTTTGACAGGAGCACAGAAAGGTAAGGCATAAATGAATGCGCAAATTAGTTCTTATTGTGTAGAGACATAGAGATTGGGAGAAGATAATGACAAAGGGAGATTTTAGGTTTAGATTTTAGACTTCAAAGTGAAAGAATTAAAATTGAGACGGCTAGTTATCCCTTACCTGGGAACACTCAGTTCTTCCACTGAACAAAATTAAAGAGAACCATTTTTGATTCAGGTTTTCTTCATGCTAAAAAAATAAAGAGGTCTTTATATGCATTTCTATAAACGTAGATACTAGAGACACGCATACATCACTTTTGCAGCATCTGCATTATCATTTAAATGTTGGTCTCCCAAATCCAAATTAAATATTACTGTGAATATTAACACTAGGCACTTTTCTACCAATTGCACTGCCATTTGTATATGTTTTATTTTCTTTTTTCCCCCCTCTCCTAAGGTGCCATGAAAATTAGTGACTGCTTTAAGTAAATACAGTACATACTTCGGATTCATTAGCAAAGATACACAGAGAATGAATAAGTAGCCTTAACTTGAAAGTTTCTCCATTCCATCACACCTCTCTCTCTCTCTCTCTCTCACACACACACACACATAGATACACACAGAAATCTCTCTCTCACACACACACACGCACAAACCAGTGGTGGGTTCCTCCTGGTTCCGGCCGGTTCTGCCGAGCCGGTAGCGGTGACGATATGATGCAAAAATACCTGAGTAGATCAGTGCCTGCAAAAATAAATGGGTAGACCAGTGCCTGCAAAAATAAATGGGTAGACCAGTGCCTGCAAAAATAAATGGGTAGACCAGTGCCTGCAAAGATACCTGAGTAGATCAGTGCCTGCAAAAATAAATGGGTAGATCGGTACAGCTCTGCAAGTAGTTAAAAGCCTGGTAGACCAGTACCTCTGCTAAATCCTAAAGAATTGTCATATGACCATCAAGCCACGCTCACAAAATAAGCCACGCCCACAGAACCGTTAGTAAAAAAAAAAAAAAAAGAACCCACCCCTGGCACAAACACAAATCTGTCTTGCTCTCCCTCTCACAGAAATACACACAAATCTCTCTCTCTCTCTCACACACACACAGATACACATATCCCTCTCATACACACAGATACACACACAAATCTTTCTCTCTCACACACACGCAAACACAAATCTGTCTGTTTTGCTCTATCTCTCACATAAATACACATAAATCTCTAAAACACATCCTTGCTTTTTGAAAAAGTATTTGAAGATACTGGCCACTGGCTATAATGGATGCATGCATTTCTGAGTCCCTTGCTCTCTCTTCTCTGACCTACAATTGAGCTGAGAAGAACACATTTCCCTCTATGGGAATCGCTCACTAACCCCTGGGAAGAGGGGTTGGGAAAGTTTTATCTCACATCAAGGGCTGAAGAGCGATAACCATTTCTCCACTCTTAGATAAGAAGAATGGATCTAGGGGGAAAATATTAAAGCCCAGGGTGCGATTTGATTGATTCAGTATTGAGCCAGAAGTTCGCCATGCCTGACTTAAAAGGATGTCTGAAAATTGTAATTGTTGAATATTTTGAGAGGGAAGTTGCGTTTTAAAATGTATGCTTACTGTGGGGAAATAAAGCTATTGAATTATGAGGGAAAAAAATGTGAAGGATCATGAAGCAGAAATAATGGTTCATTCCCAGCTCTAGACTTGGGCTCCATACTTAATTGTTGTGCGCTGTTTTATGTATGCTTCCTGCATTGCACAAAGCAAACACATCCATTAATTTTAACTTTGCAAAATATATTACGCTAATATAGTTCCAACCACGAACGGTAACATTTACTGCAAGAAGTTATTAAGATCTTGGACTGAGATAGGAATGACCCAGGTGGAATTCAGAATTCAGCCATGAAAGCTCTTTCAACGTGTCAGTCTCTCTTGTTTCACCACCATTCGTTTAGTGACCTAGTTGTAGTTACAATGACACTGGGGGAAAAAAGCGACTTATGACCAGTTTTCACACTTATGACCATTGCAGCATCCCATTATACCTTCATATGAGCCACAGTGGTGCAATGCTTAGACTGCAGTATTGCAGGTAACTTTTGCTGACTGCTGGCTGCCTGCAATTTGGTAGTTCAAATCTCAACAAGCTCAAGGTTGACTCAGCCTTCCATCCTTCCGAGGTCAGTAAAATGACGACCAGATTGTTGGGGGCAAGAGGCTGACTCTGTAAACTGCTTAGAGAGGGCTGGAAAGCACTGTAAAGCGGTATATAAATCTAAGTGCTATTGTTATTACTATATGAACACCGATTTGCTTAACAACCGTGTGATTCATTTAACAATGGTAGCAAAATGTTGTTGCCACATAAAATGGGGTGTAACTCACATAACAATTGTCTTGCTTTGACATTTTGGGATCAATCGTGGTCATATGTCAAGGACTATCTGTATGTCAGAGGACTTCTGTAGAGAAAAACTGGAGAAGGGATTTGTGTGTGTGTGTGTGTGTGTGTGTGTGTGTGTGTGTGTGTCTTAGCATTTAGAGGAAAGACAGAATACAAATTTAACAAACAAATAAAATAATGCAAATGCTATAGATTAGAAGAGGAGATGCCAGACAAGATATTATTTCTGATGGACACTGAATGATTGAAAGAGCCAAAGAGTAGCAAAAATAATCAATATCTGTTTCATTGATCATAGAAAAGCCTTTGATTGTGTTGATCAGGTCAAGCTGTGGAATGTGTTTAGAAAAAGAAGGACTAAGGAGCAGTAATGCTTCCTTTCTTAACTTCTTGGTTTCCATGAGGTGTACCAGCACACAGTTGCTAACTCAGTGGTGTTGAAGTGCTGAGGGTTGAGTAAAATGTTTTGCACTAGAGGGATCTTGGAGTCCTAGTGGACAACCATTTAAATATGAGCCAGTCATGTGCTGCAGCTGACAAAAAGACCAACACAGTTCTGGACTACATAAACAGAGGGATAGAATCAAGATCATGTGAAGTGTTAATACTACTTTATAATGCCTTGGTAAGGCCACACTTGGAATCCTGCATCCAGTTTTGGTCGCCACGATGTAAAAAAGATGTTGAGACTCGAAAGAGTGCAGAAAAGAGCAACAAAGAGGATTAGGGGACTGGAGGCTAAAACATATGAAGAACGATTGCAGGAACTGGGTATGTCTAGTTTAATGAAGAGAAGGACTAGGGGAGACATGATAGCAGTCTTCCAATATTTCAGGGGCTTCCACAAAGAAGAAGGAGTCAAGCTATTCTCCAAATCACCTGAGGGCAGGACAAGAAGCAATGGGTGGAGACTAATCAAGGAGAGAAGCAACTTAGAACTAAG